TTTCAAACATAGCATCTCATTCGAATCAGAAGCGGTAGGTTCCTCACCCCCTCCACGTGGGTCATTGCGCAAGCGCGTAGCCTCTCCCGTCACAGGAGCTCCAGTCAAAACGAGGGTTCTTTCGATTAATGAATAGAGGGTAGCCGCAAGGCTCGCTGCCTGCCCTAGTCTGCTCCTGTCCTTGAGGAAATTTCGTCTCCAGGCGCAGAGGTTCTCCGAGTATCAGGGTTGCCAGATTTAAGGACTTTACGCCTTACCATTACCGGCGAGAGATAGGTTGGGGCTTGTGATACTGGACTCCTTTCCAACAAGTAGGACTTTCTTCGTTGCACACATTATGAGAGGGAAAACAGGTGCTCGACGTCGAGCGAATAGCTTTTGCCTTTCCTTTTTCATTTTCATAGGGAGAAGGTAATGAGCGACTTTCTGGTTCATCGAGTGCAACACGAACGGACGAAGGGAAAGGGTAAGAGTGCGATGGCGTGAGGTCGCTTCTCCCCTTCTAGTAATTACCCAATATGCTCTCATCATCGATCAACGCCTTGCATCATCATCATCACCACGGTCGGCACGAGTGACGTCGAGAGACGTTGACCACGTCGGCGACGACGGCCTTTCGTAGGTTGCGAAAGCATCGAGATGAAGAAGAGAAATAGATGAGGTTCCTGCTCGCTCGCTCTCCCTCGATCGTGTTGTTAGTTGTCTAGCGAGTCACGATTCTGACTCGGGGGGGATTTTCCTTTAGGGACTGGACGTTCCATGCGAGAAGAGGCCTCTTCGACGCAGCCCACAGTGGCCTGTGTCTCTCTCGAAGGAGGCTATCGCCAGGGGGACCTTGGAAGGAAGCCGAATGATGGCCTTCCCAGACGTCGATGGAAGGATGAAGCCGGGATTTCGCACGAAAAAGGCACAGTCCTTGCACGCGGTCGGGCTCCGTGGCAGGGAGGGGGACGGAATCGAGGAGACGGGCCAGGGTTCTCCTCTCGGACGACTGAGTGAAATCGCCCAGGTCCAACTATCCAACATCACGAACTATTGCACAGCCGCAAAAAAAACTAAGAGACATGTCTCACGGTCACCCACGGATGACCGGGGAGAAGAGATGAGCAAAAAATATACCCCCAAAAAACCCTCTTTCCCCCCCCCCCCCCCCCCCCCCCCCCCCCCCCCCCCNATACCCCCAAAAACCCCCCTTCCCCCCCCCCCCCCCCCCCGATATCTGCCAGTTTCGTTGCTTTCCTCCTTCCCTCCTTCCGGACGAAACAAAGGGGGGTCATAATGGACCGAGTAATCCAAGTCATGAGGAGACAGAAGAAAGAGAAAGACGGAAGCGTGAGCCTACCGTATGAACGAAGGACGATTTTATTGCAGCTGTGACCGATCTTTTCCATGTAACCGTCGATGCCCAATCGGACATGTTTTTTTTCCTTCTCTGAGAATATAGGGGAAGCATTTCTAGTTTATCGGCGATCATGTGCCGTCGGTCGGCAGAAAATATTTTCTCATGATTCGATTTATCCGCTTTATCGACATCGTTTCATAGTGACAACGTGGATAACTCCTCGTTAAAACATGAAGACTGCGAGAAGTTACTTCGGTCCGAATGGCTGCACACCAACCGATGTGGAAATAATGAAAATGCTGTTAATTACGAATAGTTGATATTTTATTGTTGCTTCATTCTTCATTGCTTTGTCGTCTTCGACTGCGTCTCGACATCGCGGTAGTAACATTGAGTGTTATATTAATGCCGTCACGGTAATACGGGTTCCGTATTCCTTTGGTGTCAGAGGTACGGATGGAAACAAGATCGAAGGAAACTCAGGGACGACGCAATCAACATTTATTCCCGGTCTGACTACGACAAGCTTAGTGCAGAAGTTGCCACTTCGTCGAACGGGTCCGCCGTCGCAACTCCGCGGTTGTCGTGACCTTCTCGGTTTGAAAGGATGTCGGGTAAGTTCACTGGAATTTCTTTGAATCCCACTTCCGAGGTCGGTTTCCAATATGCTCGAGACTTTCACTCTTAATAGAAGCCTTGGAAACAATCGCTGGTTCTGCTTATTGCAGCTCGCTTCCGAGTGTCCTCTCGCAGGCAGACCTCCCAAGGACCATCATGCAATCATGGGCGGGGGCTCATGTCCTTTGAAAACTCTGGACCGGGACATCTACACTTCTTTTTCAACTACTAGCTTATGATCACTAGAGGCTTCCCTGATTATTTTATTCCGAGTTTAATCTTTTTTTTTAAACTTTAATCTCATATACGCCTATCATTTACAAACACCGAGGCCCGCTAGCGGCATCTAGCAGCGGAGGCTGTAAGAATGGGTCAGGGTTCAATCACCCCCTCCCCCCTCCCTCCCCCAACGGGGTCGCATGCCTTTACTCTCTACTGTGACGATAGCATGTACTGTCTGGAAGAGTTTCTTCATCATCTTCATCATCTCCATCATCTCGTGCTTGTCTTCCCGATCAGCAATCGCTCTTGCTGCTCTCTCCTCGCGATCGAGTGCTTCTTTCCGTTCTCTCTCTTTTCTCTCGGCCGTGAGTAGCTCGCGCATCACGGCCAAAGAAAGAAACTCTTCCCGCTTCTTTTCCTCTCTGTATTCGGCATCGGCATGCCTCTTCGCCGGGGGTGGAGATCCCAGGGTCGAGTCATCCGTATCTGCACAGAAAAATGGAATTTAAAAAAAATTTCAAATCGTAGGTAACTGTTTCCAAGGAAATGGGAAAGACTAACCCAAAGCGTTAGCTCCCATAGGTAATGGAATCGACCGCATCGTTCTGTTGGGAGCCCTGCGACTGGCCTCTCTGGAACGCTTTCCCGCCTTCTTCCCGTGTGATGCGTCAGCTCCCTGGAAGTCTTTCATCACTTCCTGCAGTAACCTCTGCCTTTCGACGTTCGCTTCGTTCATTTCGTTATTTAGCAGCTTTTTCGTTCGATCTCGGCACGTTCGAGGATTTGCAGCCATTCCCAAGTGGTTGAGAGAGACGGCAACATCCCGCCATGCACCTTCCTGGCTTCCTATCGGCCTCAAAAAGGGCTTCAATTGCACGACCTCTCTCAGCAGAAGCACGTCGTGCTCTGGGGAGCCGAAGCGAAAAGCCATCTAAGAAGAAATCGTTATAGGCCTCTGTTTTCTGTCCATCTCGGCAACGTGAGATCGAGAGATGAACTTTTCGTGTGGAGGGCCTTAAAAGTGGACTTTTAACGTTAACTTTAGCCCGAAAACAAGAGAAAGATAATTTAGCACGAGCTGTTAATTAGAGGCAAAAGAAAGGGTCCTGGCCTCACTCCACAGACAAGACAAGGCGTCTAAGGAGACGACTGATGACAATAATAAAACGGTGTTCAAACAACAAGGACAACAAGTATTTAATTACAGTTAAATTAAGAAAGAAAAGAAATATCACAGATGTAAATGGAGATGTTGAGGAGAACTTGAAGAGGAACGGTCCAGGGGAAAAAGTCTGTCACTGGACGGCAGAGGAGATCGCAAGCATGGCGAAAGAACGGCGACCAGCCAGACTGACAGGGACGGACGACACAGGACAGAAGACGAAAGACGGTGTGGCCGGAAGAGGGAGGTCACACCCCCAGAAATACAATGGAGGGCTATGCGGGCCCAAACCTGACATGGGCAGAACCCATGCGGGGCCGCGAACAAAATAATGTCCCACGGGAGCCACAAAGTTCTATTAAGGTTATATTCGATTACTTACTTTTACTCATATGACAAACTCACATAAATTAACTGTGACTCACAGTCGAAACGGTTCGGGCTTTGGGATCTGGAGAAGTTCTACTAGCCAAACCAACAAGCTGAACTCACGCTTTCAGGTCCTGCGAGCGATTGCCAAACACGTCCTCACTCAAGGAACTCAAAGAAAAAAATGCATGGAACTCACTGCGCATAGCGGTCTTGTCTTACATGAAAAATAGATGAACCAGGAAATGTTTGTCGCATTGCTTAGCAACGGCGAGAATATCGATCGATTCCAAGACGGCAAGTCTAAACAAGTACGTAACAAGGCGACGATTCCAGGTATGGAAAACAAAAAGGAAATATGACGTTATTGCATGAATCATTTAGAACGGAATGACCTCGATGGGGGTCGACCGACGGCATCGATCCGGACGAGTTGGCACGAGAGCTGCGTTTCTTTCATTCTCTTGTATTTTCTCCACCAGGCGAAGCCCTTAATTAAAACTACGAAGAACATAATAGAATTGTCAGAAGAGAAGTACCTGATCAAAGGCTTGCGAAAGAGAGAGGGGGAGAGAGAAAGAGATGAACGGAGAAGAAAGGGTCACGATCAATATCGTGACCTGTATTTTTCACTCGAACATGTTTCGTGAACTTAGCATTTCCTTTAGGGTTCTCACGATTTTAATTCAGAATCAGCTTCGTTTGTAGCCAATGAACTTTTGATCCTAATGTTAACTTCCTGTATGTGTGTGTGGGGGGGGGGGGGCTGCTCTCCAGCAGGCCACACTTGAATACTGAAAAGCTTGATACCGAGCACCAAGTACCAGGCGAGGACAGGGAATCCGACTCCAACCTCCCAGATGGCACGTGGGCGCTACACCACGAAGGCCGAACCCTCCTGTTCCAGCGAAACGGTTGGAAAGGACGGGTGTCGAGTCAAACAGCCTCGGACCATCGGCTAGATCTGTATTCCTCTCTTGGTTCCGACCAGCTCCCCACCAACTTCCTGGTCCCTACCCTCCTCATCGGTGACCTGAACGCGCACAGCCCCATCCTCTCCTTCTGCGACAGGACCAACCAGCACGGACGACTCATCTCCACCTTCCTTGACAACTCTTGATGTCAGGAGTCAGGAGTCAGGAGTCAGGAGAGTTAGTGATATCAAGAGGCGATTTCGCCCATTTCGATATCACGTGTCGAGGTCGAGCGTTCCTTAATTTTAGGGTAGGCCTAACCCTCTTAAAGCTATATATTTTTGTATTTTTGTATTTTTGTATTTTTTTTTTTTTTTTTTTTTTTTTNCAGGTATAGATTCCGTCCTCGAGATCGCGATGCGCTCTGTTGAGGTGCACTCCTGAGAATCGAGGGAGTGTGCGGACACGTAACGGAATATGGTGGGATCGAATGTAGATGCAGACGAGAGACAGGAAATGGGGCTCGGGATTCAGCGAGTGCCGGCGAACGTGCTCTTTGAACCCTTTGCTTTTCAGGGATTCATAGGATTTTCATGTTTCAAAAACATATAGGAAAGTCTATAGGTTTCCTATAAGATATATCTATAGGTTTCCTATAGGACATTTCCGTAAGGGAATTCACGTCGTTCAAGGAACGTCTAAATTTAACTGTTTTTCATCGCCCTAAATTTAGGACAAATAAGCAGTTAATAGAAAGTTTCCATGGATGTTCATGAAACGCTGGCAAAACCATAAATGAAACGTTCATCGAACACGTTTGGATGGTACTATGGGTGCTTAATATTTAAATCTGATGATCATGGTGACTCCTTTCACGACAACAGAGCACTTCGTTTCCTCCGGTTTGCAGCGGGTTTACCTGCCACTAGTATATTTTAATATTTGCATCGTTTAACAATTACGTCGATGTTTTAATTGTTTTATCATAATCATTCCCAGGGGGAAGCGCGAGGACAAGAAAAAATCTGGAGAACATCTGGCATCACAGCACGGATCTGGCAACGTTATACAATGGTCTCTTCTCTCGGGCCTCGCAGTCCACTCACTGCTGTGAGCTTCCCCCCCCCCCCCCTTTCCCCTCAGCAATTTCACCGACTCCAAGAAAGTCCGAAGATTATTCTGCCTGGAGACATTCCTAAAATTGCATCGAGTAGAAGCTAAATTGAAATGAAAATTGCTCAAAATTAATGGTGGCTTTTTCATAACGTTAGCTATTCTTTCTTGTTTGATCCAGGCGAGGTCCGATTCAACGCGCTCACCCTGAGAGCCGCCACTGGTGGACATGCTAAGCTCCGGTCTCCTGACTTGCCATGGGGCTCGGGATCCCTGGCGATTTTCCAAGCTGGCTCTCTCTTCATTTTTTTTTGTTATACTGGGACGTAAAAATATTGCTATCTCTGTCTCAAGAAAAAAACCTTCATGAAAGACTTCTCGTTCTGCTCCTCGTATAGGATTCGTCTCCCTTGCATATCCTTTATCTTAGGTACTGTAGCCATTGAAATATTTAGATCTATATTGCAAAATAGGGTGATTAAGAAAAAAGGTCTACCGTTTTCTTTGGGAGAAGCACAGTTTCATGAATGCAAAAAATTTATGCATTCGCTATGCGTTCGAAATTGGGCGGCTAAAAGATGCTGAGATGCACGTCAGTCATTTTTTCAGTACTCCTGCCTAAGTCGTGCAATGCCCGTTTACTCTGTTTAGATGTGGATCATTCCACCTTAAGTGAGGTATTGATATGCGCGCGACCATCTCAGAATTTATTTATATTTGGCAAACGGTCAGATTATTCTGAGAACAGCCAAATGACAAAAAACGCAGGTGTGTCCTTCAAACGGTGACAAAAGAAAAGTGAGTTTTAATTTGGTCATGGGGCGCAACATGGCCCCAACCCCCAAATGTTATTTCCTACGTACAGGGTTTTTATAAAGTCACCATCATATTTTGATTGGCCATAACTTTTCAGGAGGAAGTTTGATTGCTGCTGATACTTGACGGAGAGGTTCATGAGTCTAAGAGGTTTTTTCCTATGCAGCAAGATGACGCTACATGACAATATCGGGCGCTGCAGTCGCCCCCTATCTACGTTCTAGTTCTCAAGGCAAAGGGTTCCAAGAGCACGTTCGCCGGCACTCGCTGAATCCCGAGCCCCATTTCCTGTCTCTCGC